CATCAGTTTTCTCACACGATATAGATGTCTAGATCTCATCATAGGCTTCGTAAGTATATCAACAATTTGCAAGTCAGAAGCTATATGTGGAAGAAAGATAGAGCCAACAAGAAATAGATCCCTAATAAAGTGACAGTCCACCTCAATGTGCTTGGTTCTCTCATGGAACACTGGATTAGATGCAATCTTGATAGCGCTTGTGTTATTAGCATAGAGAGTAATAGGAAAATGGAGGTGAACACCAAGATCAACAAGGAGGGAGTGAAGCCAAACAATTTCACTGCACATTGATGACATAGCCCTGTATTCGGCTTTTGTAGATCACTTAGAAATTGTTTGGCTTCATTCCCTCCTTGTTGATCTTTGTGTTCACCTCCAAGATCAACAAGGAGGGAAGGAAGCCAAACAATTTCATTGCACACTGATGACATAGCCCTGTATTCGGCTTCTGTAGTTGACTTAGAAATTGTTTGTTGTTTCTTGCATTTCTAGGAGATAAGGGAGTCACCCAAAAAGACACACCACCTTGTAGTAGACCGTTTGGTGTTAGGGCCACCTGCTCAATCTACATCAGCATAAGTCCTCAACTGAATAGGAGAGGAAGAAAAAAAGAGTAGTCCCTAAGATAAAGTGCCATGAACATAACAGATAATTCGGTGGACAATAATCATGTGGGGTTGACATGGGGGTGAAACAAACTGATTAACTACCTAAACCACATGAGAGATGTCTGGGCGAGTCGTGGTGAGATAAATGTGGGACCCAACCAATTGTCGATATAGAGTAGCATCAAGCAAGGTCCCATCAGATTTAGACAACTTGACATTGAGTTCCAAAGGTGTATTAACTTATTTGGTGTCTATAAGACCAGCAAGCTTAACAAGATCAGATGCATACTTGTGCTAACAAACAAAGTAACCTTGGTTACTACGATGTACTTCCAACCCCAAGAAATAAGTAAGAGAACCCAAGTCTTCTATATGAAAGGAATTGTGAAGAAGAGACTTGAGTTCTTGAATTCCATCCTTATCATCCCTTGTCAACAACATGTCATCTACATACAACAACAAGATAGTAATGCCTTGAAACCTTTGATGGAAGAAGAGAGAATGATCAGAGGCACTCTGATGATAGCCAACAGCAACTATGACATCTCGGAATTTCTCAAACTTGGCTCGAGGAGCTTGTTTGAGACCATAAAAGGATTTTTTAACTGATAACCAAGGGAGGGATCACTACTATATCTAGGAGGAGGCTTCGTGTATACTATCTCCTTCAGATCACCATGAAGAAAAGCATTCTTCACAGCTAATTGATAAATGGCCCATGAATGCACAACAGATAAAGCTAGAAGGATACAAACTTGACTGTATAAACCCAACGACTTCCAATGACTAAAACATCTAAGGGAGAATTACCAAATCCCAAGTGTCATTCTCCTGTAAGGCATGAATTTCTACATCCATAGCATCTCACCAATGAGGACTGGTGGTGGCTTGTTGATATGAGCAGGGAATATTTGTGACAATAATACAATAGACAAGGACCTATTGTTTGAAGGAAAACCATAGTGGTTAGGAGGTCTAGAAATATGAGAGGAATGATGAAAATATGTGGTAGGAATAACAACAGAATTTGAAGGAACATCACTTATAGGAGCATTAGTGGGAGGATGATCTAGGTCGGGAGGAAGTGGGGTTGTAGGCGTAGGATCTAGGGCACATAACCTTTTGCGAGAGAAGACGAGGAAGTCCTTCACACCAGCAGGAGGAGAAGTATCCTGCGAGTTAAAATTCTGCAAAACAGAAATAGATGGAGCAGATAGCTTTGCAACAATAGCAAAAAAGGAGATATGCTCAAGGAAAACAACATTCCGAAAAACCCGAATATGATGAGTAGATGGATCATAACAAAGAAATCCTTTATGATCTGGACTATATCCCACAAAGGCACACATAACAAACCGAGTAGATAACTTGGAACGTTCACGAGACAGGAGATGAACAAAGCAAAGACATCCAAAAACATTGAGGCTAGATAAATCTGGTGGACGACCAAACAATTTCTGGAAAGGGGACATATTAGCAAGAGTGGATGAGGGAACGCAATTAATCAAGAAAACAATAGTACTAGCGGCCTCTACCCAAAATGAAGGAGCATGAGATTCTTGGAATAGGGTTCCCGTAACATTGAGCACATGGCCACTCTTACGCTCAGCCACTCCATTTTGTTGAGGTGTATCTGGACAACTTCGTTGAACTTGTATTCCACGACTTCTCAAGTAGGATAAGAAGTCTCTATCAGTGTATGTTGCCCCTGAATCTGAATGGAGAATACATATATGAGATTGAAACCGGACTCATATCATAGCATGCCAAAGCTAAAATGTAGGATATACTTCTGATTTATATCTCAAAAAGTAAATCCATGTATACCTGGTACAATCATCAATAAACAAGACAAAGTACTTGTATCCAAGTCGATAAACAATAGATGAAGTCCAAACATCACCATGTATAATTTCAAATGGTGAGGTGGCATGCTTAGATGTGTGAGGAAAAGATAAAGTGCGGCTTTTACTCAAACGATAAGAAACACATGAGGTACCAAAAGTATTTAAAGATGGAATTTTATTTTTAATAGAACCAGAGTCGAACAAAAAGTTCAACTTTTCAAAATGAGGATGTCCCAAACGTTTATGCCATAAGTCCCAAACATTATTTCTTTGCCCAATAAAAGATTCAGAAGTAGATGAACTAAAATATGCTAATGATGTTGGTGCTTTAGAATTCTCGAACTCCAATGCAAATAAACAGCCCAACCTACACCCCTTCCCTTTTACCTTCCCAGTATACTAGTCCTAAATCAAACAACAATCATGAGAAAATGTAAGAGTATATCCTCCATCAATAAGTTCACCAACAGAAATCTGACTTGTAGTGAGGTTAGGAACAATAAAAGTTTTGGTAAGAGGTAAACAGGCTATAGATTACAGCTTAAGGGATAGGTCATTGCTACCAATGATATTCAGTTTTTCACCATTGGAAGTAATGATTTGTTTATGATGGGTTTTAGAAATGATATCTGGGGGTTTAGGGAAAGCCCCTTTCGTGTGATTAGTTGCTCTGGAATCAATGATCCAAATGTGAGATTGAGAAGAACAGTAACCAGAAAACTCACTAGATAGACCAATAGCAAAAAATGTAGAAGAAATAGAAGAGGATACCAGTTGCCGAATTCTGTCCTTATCCATAGATGCAGATGTAGAAGCCTCACCCTTGGAAGAGGAAGTATCATGGTTTGACCAATTGACCCTTAGTCACCTGATATGCATGCACCCTTAGTCACCTGATACCCGGTTGTTGAGCACTAGAACCTAAGGGTTGACCATTTCGATAATTATGCCCTATGGTAGACTCTTGGGCATATTTCCTCGTCTTCAATAGGATGCTTTCCCATGGATACAGATATTTGTTTCATTAATTCAGTCATAGAATCTTTAAGGGCATTTATATCTGAACTAAGGGTTTGTATCTTCTCTTCAAAAATTGCTTTTGTTTCTTCTTGGGCTTTGGTTAAAGCTTCTTGGTTCTTAGACAAGGCTTCTACCCTAGCAGAAAGTTCAGCATTGCTAACCATGATGATTGGGTATTAATGAAATGTTAATGGGATGAAAGTAAAAGGATGCAATGCCAATACAGACAAAATATCACAAATAAGTAATCAAAATTCTAAACTAATGCAAGGCACTCTTAGAAAATCTAAAATTCCAAAAAGAAACTATGCTAGGTTCATGCAAGAACCTTCCTTGGGCTTCAACTAGGGATGAAAAGACTCCATTAAGCCTCTCCGAAAACCCTCCCACTGGGCTACATAAGCTGCTAACTAATCATATGATCAGTTCTCCATACACACTGTGTATGGGCCAAGAAAGGAGAAAAAAAATGTTAAGGTGAGAACCTGCTCTGATACCAAGTTGTGGAACACACCTATAATAATCCAGAAAATAGAGAAAAGAGAAGAAAAGAAAAGAAGAAAAGAAGTTTCAGCAGAAGTTTGAAGAAGGAGATGAGCGAAAAGTAGAAGGGAAGAGAAAAGCAAAGAGTTCAATCTCTTTCTCTCTAGCCCCATAGGTCTCTTTTATTTCTTTTAATTCTAATCTAAGTACAATTCCATGAGTGCCCTTAATAAGGCGGCCAGCACTAAAGAAACAATAAAAACAAGTAACAGGCCCATAACTAAGGCTCACTACTTAAAGAACATAAACAAAAGACATAACTTAAATAAAATAAAGAAACTAAGGCCCATTCAGCCCATTCTCGCTACAATAGTTAAGAACATATTTGTTTTCTGCCAAGGATGTGTTATATAAAAGTTTTTCTAGGAAGTTCTAATACAAATTTTGCAATCTTGCTTTATGTTAATTGCATTTGGAATCCAGAGTTCCTACTTTTTAGGTCAAAAGTGTAGAGATATGGGGCTCTGGTTGTACTTTAGTTTTATTCAGGAAACAATATTGAAAAGTATTATTTGAGTATGGATCTGGTTAGTTGGATCAATTATATGGTTTTCTATCTGGGTTTGATGTAATATCTAGCCAAGTTAAATAATATCGCATATGGGTCATAGAATCTGGGTTAACATGTGTTGTTTGACTTTGGTTTGTGTATGGTCTTCTATTCTCTTTGAGTATGTGGTGAGTGAGAGGGAGTAAGGGGTTTCATTTTGTCTTCCTCTATTTACTGAACTAGTAGATTTGTGCAGCTCTCTCCTGTCAATGTAGGCCATCAAGCAAAACCATGTTAAATTTTTTCCTCATTTCTTTTTTATTTTTTTCTCCTCTAAAGGCTTATGCTTATATTTTTCTTTAAAGTTATGATTTTTTTATACTTCATTTTTTGTCTTGTTTCCTCTATAAATTCAATCCAACAGTGCCTCACTTGTTAGGTTAAGTGTTTCCAATTATATTGATACATAATACACTTCTGTTAACCATTCAGCTTGCAGACATAATATGGGGTGACGCCAGTGAGGATGGTAACCAAATTGTGCCCTACCCCAAGGAAAGTGAAGAGAAATCAGTGGTTACGTTTGGAGATGACAATAAACAACAGAATGAGGATTATAGCACTATTAAGCCTGCAGAGCAAAACATATCAGAAAATAAAAATGTTGTTCCTGACTCTAAGCAGGGAAGCAGTTCTGACTTTGAGAAAAGTGGCCTATCAGCTCCTGGGTTGGACATTGATTCTTGGCCTGATTTACCTTTATCAATTGGTGTGTGCAATAAAGCGTATTCAGGCATAGATGCTCAGGAGTCAATCGGTGAAATTACAAATAATTCAGAAAGAGGTAATACGATTCAACAGTTCTTTATATTGTTTAATTGGAATGCTTTGGAATTAAGTTAAATTTGTCTGAAAATATTTGTTCTCTCTCTCTCTCTCTACAGCTGATGCATCTCAGGTTGATAATGAACCCGAACTGTTTGGGACTAATGAAGATAAAGAGAAGAATAGCTTTCTTGGTTATGGTTGGGATAACATTGGCAGCTTCGATGATCTTGATAGAATCTTTAGGTAATAGATTTCTATATGCTTTTTTCTGAGCTTTGAATGAGTTCTCATATTCATGGCATACGTTTTGCTTGTTAGTACTTTGACTGAAAGACAGAGTAACAATAGTTTTATTCTTCTTTTGCACAGTCAAATGGCATATGTCTGACCCATTATTCTCACAAGTGATGATTTTGCAGAAACGATGACTCAATATTTGGCCGTGGAAGTCTTGTTAATGCAGATGAGCTGTGGCCATCTTCTACAGATGTAATTAGCAGCCCAGGAAAATCTTTTCCCCTCTCTGCAGGATCCCCAAGTTCAGGGTTGGGAGCATCGAGGAACACGCCAGAACAGTATGGAATTAATATAGAAGTTTTGCCACACATTAGTGAGTCTCTTACCCATGGAAATGAGAAGATAAATGATCCTGTGGCCTGTGGTTTACAAAATGTACATCCAAGTGAGGATGGCATTCCTGAGAAACAGCACAGCTCATCTGCTGATGCAATAGTTGAATCTGCTGGAGGAAAAAGGAAACTTTCATTGAAGGAGAAGGTTTGGAATTTCATTGCAAATCATGATAAAATCAAAATTTGCATATTCTGTGATTCAAATGTTCTGGACAAAGCATAGGAAATTCTTACTTGTTTGCTTTGACAGACAACTCCTGTAGCAACTGGGGAAACAGCAGCATCTAGCTCTCAGCTTGCTAGTGAAAATAGTGCAGCGCAGAATGATTGTGCAGACAAGGTACTCTCTTGACTAACTAATCAAAAATAGAAAAAGGCACCCTCTTGAGTCTTGAATAAAAGTACAGAATCCACAATCTGGCTTGGTTATTTGTTCAAGTCAGTATTTATGCTCCTCAAGGACAGTGGGGACTCTTGGTTTTTTGCTATTTGAATAAATAAAATTTTATCTGTAATCAGAAATCTTGAATACAAAAGCTGCTCATGTGCTAGCCCAAAAGGACAAATTTTTTTATGATGTGCCATTGGTGGAATAGTCCATCTGACTAGATGGAAAAATATATTTGTAATATTTTTGCTTGTTTAGTGATATTTCATTTATCAAAAAAAAAAAAAAAGACATTGGGTACTCTGCCTAGATGGGAGTTCATATTATACAAGTACTGTAGGACAACTGAGTGAATCTTGCACTTGATTCATATTTGCAACACTAGACATAGGATCTCTTTATGTCTCTATGCTCTTATCTACCTTTAATCTTGGAATATTTTCTTCATGGAAAACATATGAATATATAATATGCTTATTTTATGCCTGTTCACATATTTTTATTAAGGAAAGGTACCTTGTATAGTACTTGTCAAATATACCACAAAGTACTTGTAATTGTCAAGAAAATAAAATATGCTGAAAATGTTGATTTAAAATGACATGATGTAAGAGATATGTATTCTAATTTAATTATTTATAAGTTCATGACTATTTATCTGTGTTTTCATTTTAAGTAGTGTGAAGAATCCTGATGTTCTACCTTATTTCTATAGTCCTTGTCGTACACTATCATGTATTCTTTCTTTCTTATTTTCTCTTCTTTGCCCTGCAAGGGCGTTTCTGTAAATGCTATATATATTCTGACTCTCTAGGGTGGGGTTGACAGATTCCTGTTTTCACCCTAAACTGGTTGTGTGGCATGGTATCAGAGCAGGTTACTCCATAAACTGTGTTTGTTCCATGTTCACTCATTAACCTCTCAAACCTTGCTGGTTTCTGGACTCATTGACTGAAGCTAGGGCTGTTTCAGTCAACTCTAATCCTGGTTACTCTGTTCTGTGATTTCAGCAAGGGAAATCTTCATAGAACTCCTTGGAGAAGCATCTGTTCAAAGTGAAACTTTAACTGGTGTGTTGCCCAGACCTGGTTTACCTACTCAGAAAATCTCATCATGATTGGACAAGTATTTGGGGAGTTCTGATCTCTCCTCTCTTGGATGGAAGTTTCTGGAAATCTGCATATCAGGTTGGTGAATCCAACCTATCTGCTCAATAGGATATCCTTTGTTTCTGAGAGCCCTAGTTTTAGTGTTGCCCCAGGGTACTCTCACTCCATAAACCACTCAGTTGTATTTCAGATTCAGTTCTGGAGAGTATTTTCTCCCTCCAGTTCAACAGTCCTGAAACTCTGCTGGCTTGGACAGTTATCACTTAGAACTATCAGATTGGATCTGTTTTGGCATTTTCTTCGAAGGATTTTGGTTCCTTCATAGCTTGGCATATCTCTGTGGATTGCATAACTGAGGTGAATGACCATATATACCTGCTGAACCTGATCTCTCTGCTATTTCTCGACTTGTGGGCAGAACATGAATTAGTTCACATTGAGCCATCTGATTCAGCGGAGTGTGTTAAGTATCTACAGAAGCACTTTGAGAGGAGGAAGGTGAACCATTTCCTCATGAGACTGAGACCTGAATACGAGATTATTCAGTCCAATATTCTAAGTAGGGGTACATTACCAGATTTAGATTCCGTGATGGGAGAGTTGCTGAGAGAAGAGACTAAACTTATGGCTGCTACAAATCTGGAAGGAAAGCAATTTGAATTTGAGGCTGAAACAGTTTTTATTACACAAGGGAGTAAGAAATCTGGTGGAAAGGATATGTTTAAAACCCAATGTTATGAATGTAAAGGTTTGAACATATTGCTTCACACTGCAGGAAGAAAAATGTTTGCACATATTGTAAGCAACATGGTCATATCATTCCAGATTGTCTTGTTCATCCCTCCAAAGGTAGTATGAAGAAGAATCAGACACAGGCTTACCAGGTATCTGAAGGACAGATGGCTGGTGCACCCAGTGCACCTAGTGTCAAAGGTGAATCTTCTGCTCCTATGAACAGGGAAGAGATATGGGAACTTGTATCCTTTGCTATCTCATCTGCATTTTCTGCTGTTGTCCTATTTGGTGAGTTCTTTGGTTATTATTCCTCTTCCTCACATGTTTGGATAATTGATTCTGGGGCTACCAATCATATGACTGGAACCTACCCCAAACCTTCAAATAAATCTTTGGAGACCCATCATAATCATATTGTTATTGCCAATGGTGAGAAATTGAATATCAATGGGAGTAATGACTTGTGTTTGAAGCTCTCACCCTCGTCTTCCCTTTCCCTTACCAAAACCTTCATTGTTCCCAAACTTATTACTAACCTTATTTCATTTGGTCAATTGGATGATGAAGGTCACATTCTAACCTTTTCTTCTAATGGTTGTTTGATTCAGGACCGGTGCACTAGGATGGTGAAAGGGAAGGGGCATAGACTGGGCCACTTGTTTGCACTGGACTTCGAGGGATCTCAATCAGCATAACCGTATGCTTATTTTAGTTCTTCTTCATTTAATTCTGGTTTGGGTCAAAGAAATAACATTTGGGATCTATGGCATAAATGTTTGGGTCACCCAAACTTTGAAAAACTTAAATTTTTGTTTGACTCTGGTTTCATTAGAAGTAAAATTCCCTCTTTGCAAACTTTTGATACATCTTGTGTTACTTGTTTCAGTAAGAGTCATACTTTACCATTTCCTCACAAAGCTAAACATGCTACCTTACCTTTTGAAATTATACACAATGATGTATAGACTTCCTCTGTTGTTTTACGTTTGGGGTAAAAGTATTTTATATTGTTTATTGATGACTACACCAGGTACACTTGGGCTCTACTTCCTCAGACACAAGTCAGAAGTTTTTCCAACCTATCGGTTGTTTCACAAGGTTTTTAAAACCGACTGGACAACGAACCGGTCAAGGGTCTGGTTCCCGGGTCGAACGGTCGGCTCGTTCTGACAAAAAATAAAAAAGGTCAAAACCGTTGAGCGGTTCGAATGGTTTAACTGCCCAGGTCAGCGGTTTGCTTACCAATTCAACGTTTTTTGGCAAAAATCCGGTTTTGGGGAAAAACAGAACCGGTCAGGTGGCTCGTTCCCGGTTTTTCCGGTTTGACTGTCTGGTCTGGCCCGGTTTTGAAAACCATGTTGTTTCATGCTATGGTTCGAGTTCGGATTCAATCTAGTTTTCGTATCCTACCCTCAGACTTAGGGGGAGAATACAATGATGGTGAATTTCTGTCCTACCTAAGAAATCTTGGGATACGAGTTCAACAGAGTTGTCCAGACACTCCTCAGCAAAACGGTGTGGCAGAATGCAAGAATGGGCATATTCTCAGTGTTGTGAGAACTCTTCTTCAGGAGTCTCATGCACCATCTTTGTTTTGGGTGGAAGCAGCTAGCACGGTTGTGTATCTAATTAATTGTGTACCTCATCTGTTCTAGCTAACATGTTTCCTCATCAAAAACTATTTGGTTCTCCTCTCAATCTCTCTAACCTTCATGTTTTTGGATGCTTATGTTTTGTACTTCTTCCCTCTTGGAAACATTCCAAACTCAGCTCAGTCAGTTATATGTGCCTTTGTGGGGTATAGTCCCAGCCACAAAGGATTTCTTTGTTATGATCCTTCTGCTCATCACACCCATATCTCTTGGAATGCCATTTTTCATGAGCATATTTCTTTTTTTAAGGAGTAACCAAGTTATTTACACCTTCTGTCTCTGTTTTGTATGACTTTGACTCACTAGATGCTCCGTCTTCAATGGCTTTGAAGGATCTCCTCGTCTTCTATCGCAAGCGAGTTCGGATCCAACACCTACGCCTACAACCCTCCTTCCTCCTGGTCCAGATCCCCATTCTGTTATGGACACACCGCCCGGCAGCGCACTGCGGCACAGTC